AATGAATTTTTTTTATCAATAAAATGTTTATGTAAACTGTTTTACTTTTTAACAGCATGAAGGAAATTTTATTTAAAACTTTTAAAAAATAAGTTTAAAGAAGAATTACGGTTCTTAATTGTAAATAAAAATAATAAATCGTACTGAAAATAATAAAAACACGGAATTATTTTATTCTCGACATACATATAATTATAATCTATAAAATCATTATAATATCACGACATAATTTTAATTTATTAATAAGAACCGTAATTCTTTTTTAAACAATTAGTTTTTAAGAGTTTTACACTGGACAACATTTTCTTTATCTATTAAAAAGTAAAATAGCTTGCCATACATATATTTTTAAAAGTTATTTCATTAAATAAAAAATTTCGTCATTTGAAATATTTGATGTCTCAGATGAATTTAGAACAGAGTTAACAAATTGGAAAAAGAAACGATTAAGAGAAAAGAAAGCAAAGGAATCAAATAAAAAGCCTCCATTTGTAGTTGGTATCGTTCGTCATCATATTTATTCCCCGATATCAACAAACTCAATGACATCTGGAAGAAAGAAGAAACCAGTTACTCAAGAGCACAAAAACTCCAATGTTATAAAGGGAATTACAAAAGCTACGAAAAAGCGGCTACAAGTTAAGATGGCAAAAGCTGAAATGAAACAAAAATCGCCTACAACTCCCACCAGGACGAAGTCTTCTACAAAATTGGATAACAAAATTGAAGTTAACAAATCGCTTGCTTCTTCTAATTATAAATTTAATCCGCCCGTTGAATTACCAATATTCAGAACATCTTTATGTGAAAAAATATTTGCAGAAAGTAACTCCTTAAAAAAAAATAATGTGTTCGCATTTGATACTTCAATGGAAGCCGCTCACCAGAAATTAGTTTCTCATAATTTTGATTTGATAGAATCGATCACGTTGAAATTATCACCAATTAAACTGGAAATTTCAGATTTCTCACAAAAAATGCAAACAAATTCGAGATTAAACAACAACGATGAAATTCCACCTTTAGGATTTTCTGCACGTATGGTAAAGATTAGAATTATTTTCTTTATTTCTTCCATTAATGTTTTTTATATTATCAGTTTATTCATTCAATGGCGTAACATCCCAAAGTTAAAATAAGGCTCATTGCACCTTTTGTACATATATCCGTAATACGCACGCAAATCGTACAGACATACGGGACCTATAATTTAACGCCGGTTTCGAACGACAAGGATTTTCTTGGCAATAGATACTCTTGGTGGTTTGCCAGACCAAAGAGGAGCAACGAGTGTTTGAAAATTTTTTGATCTGCCGAGGATCAAATTAGATAGTCGATTCGCGCTTTGTCTACTATGTTATACTTCTACGCTCTTATATTATCAGTATTACTTAAATATTTCGGAAAAAATTTTTCGAGCTACTTTCTTTTTTAGTTAATGTAAATTTTTTTATTGTTATACATTTATAAATAATATTAAATAAAATGAACGAGGCAATTTTGAGTTTTACTATCAGCTTTCAGGTTCATCAGGATTATTTAATACAAAACTTACAATAAGAGATGATACAACAAACAATTCTGATGTGCCAGTAAAAGAAACGAAATATAGCGTTACATATTTTAAACGTCTGTTATATAAAGAAGAAGATAGGCTTCAAAAACTTTGCAAGAAATGGATAGAAATTCAATCGCAAACAGATGATGTAGAGGATATTTATTATCGAATTAATCAAGCAGTAGGACAAACAACTATATTAATTAAACATAAGTTTAAACAATTTTATAATTTAATACTAGATTGCGAGAGAAAAGATTGTGAAGTGTTGGTAACTTGTATGGATTTACATGGATTTTGGGACACGATATACCTACAAATAAAGGATTGCGATTCGCGATTTGCAAAATTGGAGGAACTTCGTGCTAAATGTTGGCAAGAGGATCAATCACTTTTTATAAAATCTACTGAAATTAAGAAAAAGACAGTTATTAAAAAGAAAGCTACACCAGTAAACTCGCTGAAAAAGATAACAGAAATTCAAGATAATGAGAAAAAATCACAGGAAATAATAAATAGGAATAATAAATGTATTACGCCTTACATTAATAATAAAAGAGCTATAAATGTTTCTGGAAGAAGATCTAACGTATCGCGTAATAAAATATATTCTAAAGTATCGAATTGTATACACACATCGACACCATTTCCTGTCGATACGAAATCAAATGTTTCAAATCATCGATTGAACACCCCACTTATAGCAATGAAAGTAAGTCAATCTGTTAAAAAAATTTTCTCAAATAAGATTTTAGAAACAAAATCACTTGGAAGAAGTTTAAGATGTCCGAATGTAAATAAAATTATAAAAAGTTCTTGTGGAATTCCGAAAAATAATTCGTCTACACCTCGCAGTACATCGCTATTTCATGTTGTCAGAAATATCAATTTTAATATAACACCAATACAGATCGAGTAACAAAAGGACACAATTCCAATATAAAAAGATCTTGAGACAAAGCTGTTATTTCGGATAGTACTTCTAGAATTAAAAAAAATGGAAACTGTAAGTTTTATAATTTAATTTTTATGTTATGTTTGCTCTCTCTCTCTCTCTCTCTCTCTCTCTGTATCTATCTATCTATCTCTTTTTTTCTTTACGCCATTCAATAAATATTAAAAATTTATTAATTTTGTTTAGAGATTTTTAATTAAAAAAACCAATTAATTCTTAAAATATCGACAAGAAGTATATAAATTGATGAAAGAGAGAGAACGAAAAAAAAATATAATTTCAAAGCATTCTACTTGATGGTAAACATCTAAATTATGAGATATTATTATAATATTTTACATCACATGGAAAAATATTATACATTACATTTCGGAGTATGAGAACGACATGTTTAAATTAATGTTTTAATCTTATAACTCATTTGAATATTTTAACATTGAAAAAATTGTAAAATTTTATTTAAAAAACGTAGACGCATACTTATATTTATAATTCTCAACTACAGCTATGAAAATTACACCTAAGTTCTACAGAATCTAAAGCATCCTGTTTGTACAGAATGTAAATGACGCGATTGATAGAAGAAGGTTCAACGTCTTTTTATATACCTATTATATAGAACTTTATAGTAACAGTCATATACCGATTGAACCGTATATAATTTTTGTTACAGATTTAAATGATCTGTTGCTGTACTCGAGGGTTGAGAGAGTTATATATTTCAAATTGTAATTGTTTATATATTTATTATGTTCATATATTACATTATAAATATATTAGGATACTGTCAAAGAATATGTTTCATTTGCAATGTTATATAATGGATTTTGTATAAATAAAAAAATAATAATGTATATTAGATGAATATGATTATTTCGCAGGAGGATCTATTGCGTAAAAGTAAAGGGAATCATTTATTTAATTTCTTTTCCGTGTTTAGATACAGTACACACAAATATATACAGACATTACTGAGCACATTTACAACGGTTTGTATCGAAATATGTGTGATCGCGCATGCTGCGACCAATATACAATAAGCGAACACATCGATCTGCCGCGTTCAAGCGAGGTATTGGCCGCGTTGCACAATAATATTGTATACAAATAAATTAAAGACCTAAATTAATTTATATAAATAAATTACTTAGGTACACGAATGTTACGATAGTTAACGTATTAATTCGCCGTTTTCACCTCGCAAAACGACGGTAATACTAGTCCGGCAATAAAATATATTATATCGTGGTCCTGATCCCGATGGACGTAGAATTAAATAGTTCGACGATCGAACACGCGGCTGTCGTATAAATATCAAGAAATAATTACAATCTACGAATAAATATCACGTTAAATATGTGCATTATCTGCAAAATATCGTCTTTCATTTTCTTTGCGACCGCGCGAGTGTAATATACGAACACTGGGGAGAATGTACGTATTAATGTATAATGATGCAGGGCCGAACGTTATACATTTCGGCAGTGTGCCAAATTGTGATAAATACTCAATCTTTCTGGCACTTAGTTTAAATTATGTGGCTCGCCTTGTTTATGTTTCCTTTCTGTAGAAGTACGCGCGTCGCGATGGTCGCAATAATTAATTAATTATACCATAGTATACGCAATAAAAAAATTATAATCGTAATCGTCTTGGGAGCAGTTCTTTTTAAATTTTTTACACATAGACTGCAGCTTGAAGGTAGGTACTTGGAGAATTCTCTCGCGTGTGACAATGCGATAGAGAAGGGTTTTATCGCAGCAACAATTGAATTTCCCGATTTCTTCTTTTTGGTTCGAGAATAACGAAGAACGGAATGTATTCAATTTCACCGTGCTGCGGAATATGATGGAATATATAATGGAAGACTAGGCGTCTTCGTGAGGCGATTCTGTTCAATATTCATTATAGCTTCACGGTATCTAATACACTTAGCTGGAGTGAACGTGTTGCCTCAAGCTTATCTGATAATGTTTCCACCGTTAAGTGGTTGTAGGAAACTCACACACATACGTACACATCGATAGAAAATAACGTAAAAGTACAGATAAACGTACGTATTATATGCATACGTACACGAGGGATACCAAAATTACCACGTCGTTGCGATTATCTTTTAGCAAGCTGATGTCGTTAAAGCTTCATTCGTTCACAGGGATTCATAAGCTAAAATATTCTTCAACGATATTCACGATACAATTCTTCCGTGTTAGCTTACATACAGGAATGATTTTACAATTTAAATTATAATTATATCTCGATAGAGGGATGCCGTTCGCAATAATAATAAAAAATTATACCGTTTGTGTGAGATATTGT